TAGAAAATCGTACGAGGGCATTGGAAACTCGCGTCTGGTACATGTTGGTACCAGAGTGTTTGAGATTTGAAGACTCTGGTACTAACATGTACCAGAATTTATGATGAATTTAAGATGACCATTATAAATGGTAGCGGTTTGTTTCAAAAAAATTTAGATGAGATTTGCATAGATATAGAATTATAATTTATACATTGAAAAAATATATAAAAATATAATTTGGAGATATTATGTAATAATATTTTAAATATTTGAATTTGAGGTATAATTTTATAGTAAAATATATTATAAAGAGTATTATAAAATATTGTAAAATAATATAAGTAATAAAATTGAGACCCCTCCCTGTTTTGATGTTTTGTCACTTTTTCGTAATTCTTATGTTTCTAACAATAAGGATATGCTCACTAAATTGAAATCTTTTATTCCACCAAGCAGATTCAAGAATATTTATTCCGATCAAGGTCCGGCAATTATAGCTGCTGTTAGAGAATCAGGCTTTTCTTGCGATCATAAATTTTGCTTACGTCATTTTGCAACAAAAAGGGAATACATCAATGTCTATTCCGAAATTGTTGAAGTCGCTTACGCAGACCATCCTCAAAAACGAATTGACTTGATTAAAAAGTTAGAAACTCGTTTACAAGAGGAATATCCAAACCGCGAAAATAATCAGGATCTCTTTAAGTACTTAGATAGTATTAACCCATTGAAGGATTCGCTGACTACACCGCTGGCATACTCACAACATCTCTTATTGAATCCCTTAATGCGAAATTAAAAGATAAATGGGATACATATGAACCCGCCGAACTAATTATCCGTCTCATTGAACATGAATTCAATCTTGTTAAAAATGTTTAACAGTTGTTGTAAGACGAGTTACGGAAAGTGAGGTGAACCGAAAAAGTGACACTTATTTTGGTCGGATAAATTCCCTATATATTTACTTGTCAAAAAAAACAGACTTTTTTTGCTTTAAAAAATTTATAAGTTAATTATTGAGAACGAAGGTGAAAGGAAATGGATATCTTTACCTTTCATTCCCTCGAGAAAGTTCAAAAACTTGGGTGCAATCAGTTCTGATTGCACCCAAGTTTTTGAACTTTGTATAAGGAATTGTTGGGCTATGATGCACTGATCATGAATCAGTACATCATAGCCAACAATTCCTTCGCAAACAGCGGGAAACTTTGTCTGAATAGTTTAACATTCAGACAAAGTTTCCCGCTGTCCAGAGAGGAATGGAAGGGTAAGAGGTATATATTCATAATGTATACCTCTTACCCTTTCATTCCCTCGAGAAAGTTCAAAACTTGGTGCAATCAGTTCTGATTGCACCCAAGTTTTGAACTTTGTATAAGGAATTGTTGGCTATGATGTACTGATCATGAATCAGTACATCATAGCCAACAATTCCTTCGCAAACAGCGGGAAACTTTGTCTGAATAGTTTAACATTCAGACAAAGTTTCCCGCTGTCAGAGAGGGAATGGAAGGGTAAGAGGTATATATTCATAATGTATACCTCTTACCCTTTCATTCCCTCGAGAAAGTTCAAAACTTGGGTGCAATCAGTTCTGATTGCACCCAAGTTTTTGAACTTTGTATAAGGAATTGTTGGCTATGATGTACTGATCATGAATCAGTACATCATAGCCAACAATTCCTTCGCAAACAGCGGGAAATTTGTCTGAATAGTTAACATTCAGACAAGTTTCCCGCTGTCAGAGAGGGAATGGAAGGGTAAGAGGTATATATTCATAATGTATACCTCTTACCCTTTCATTCCCTCGAGAAAGTTCAAAAACTTGGGTGCAATCAGTTCTGATTGCACCAAGTTTTGAACTTTGTATAAGGAATTGTTGGCTATGATGTACTGATCATGAATCATACATCATAGCCAACAATTCCTTCGCAAACAGCGGGAAACTTTGTCTGAATAGTTTAACATTCAGACAAAGTTTCCCGCTGTCAGAGAGGGAATGGAAGGGTAAGAGGTATATATTCATAATGTATACCCTTACCCTTTCATTCCCTCGAGAAAGTTCAAAAACTGGGTGCAATCAGTTCTGATTGCACCAAGTTTTTGAACTTTGTATAAGGAATTGTTGGCTATGATGTACTGATCATGAATCAGTACATCATAGCCAACAATTCCTTCGCAAACAGCGGGAAACTTTGTCTGAATAGTTTAACATTTTGGAGAACGGTTTCGACGTTAATACCGCTTTGAATAGTTTAACATTTTGGAGAACTTATACAAGTTCAAAACTTTGTCTGAAGAATTCTTCCATCTGTTAAAGGGACATTTTGGAGAACGGTTTCGACGTTAATACCGCTTTGAATTTGTTGATTAGCTTGATTTAACCATTCTAAATCAATTAAATCGAAGATTCTACCACTCATTGGAAAATTATAAGTTTTGAAAAAACCGTAAATCATTATTGAATCTAAAAATATTTATGTACAAAAGTCGGTATATATTCTATAATTATTTAAAATAATGAAAAAGTTGATTTGTGAATCATTGAAATATTAATGCTGTTATATATATATCAGATGATATAAGATGATTTTTTAAATAAAAAATAAAATTTAATTTTTAATTGTTAAAATAAGAATAGCTTGACAAGTAATTTAAGTTTTGCTTTGTAAAGTTATTTGGTTGGCAAATGCATTGTGTCACTTTTTTGTTGAGTTCACTTTCCAATTTGTCTTATATAAGGTGATTTTAAATCAGATAATATTATCAAAAATCTAAATGAAACTTTGAAACATTCAGATATGTTTAGCTCGTATTATGATCCAATTCAATAATTATATTATGCAACTTTTGGTCGCTATACATATTGCGTAAAAATTATGTCAGATTCACAATATTCATGCACATGTAAGCACATCGAATTATACGGATTACCTTGTATTTCATGTAATCGCCGTATTGAATCACTTTTCGAACAAAAACTTCTTAAAAATTTGAATGATGCAGTTCATGCTCGCTTCAAATGTTCAGAGTTTATGACTCTGTGGAAGATTTAATGAAATTTTATGTTGACCAAGCATCTTTAAAATTCCGGAATATAATTTCAACCTGGGAGAGATTGAAAAATTAAGGGAAAAGGACTAGGATAAAGCATTTTACGAAAAGTGATGCTGTGTTAGTTATTTATTTACTTTTTTAATATTTTTTAAAAAATAAAAGAAAATTCAAATAATTTTATCTCCCATGATATATCGACCATGAGTACTAATGTGGCTATAATTAGAGATTGCAACTCTATTATGATCATAGTCCGTGATATACAAAAGATTCAAATTTTGAAAGAATTAAATTAATAAAATCCCGGTGAAAAAAATAAAAACAGCTTCTAAAAGTATAGTTATCTTAAAATACGAACTTTAACACAAGTTTTTGATCCAATAGAAAATTGAATTCTTTGAATAAATAAAATATTTTATGTATTAACATATTAATTTCCTAATTATTTTTCTTCTGGGAAAATTTTTGAATTCGAATAGAAAATTCAATAAATTGAAATTGGGTTGAAAGAATTCTCCATATTAACTTGTCATATATTTCAGATCATATAAATTAAGTTAATTAAATTTTTTAAAAACCTTAATAGGATAAAAAAAGAATTTACACTCTCTCACTTTGAAAACGTAGAAAATGCCAATCTATTGGTATACATTTTAGTTTTGTTAAGTTTACAAAACGATTACTCTAGATTTTAAAGATTTATCAAGAATTTAGAGAATATCCTTCTCAAAACAACTTCAATAGCGAAGGATTAGTATTGAATCGGATTTGTAACATAATTATAGTACATTACAATACAATTTCTCCGACTTTTAAATATTTTTGAAATATTTACAAAATATGCTCTTTCTATCATCGATACTTTAATACAGAGCAAATTTAGTAAATGTCATCACGTTATTTTTTCATAAATCGTTTTCGAACTTTTGAAATATTTATTTTAAACCAGTTTTCTACATTTAATATGTGAATTATATCAAAAGTAGATGGGCGATACTTGTAAATCTATTTAAACTATTAGTTTGCTATTATTGAAGAACTTTATAATTTTTTTTTCTTATGTATGGAATTAAAGATAATTTTGCCGATTCCAACTGGTTTTTCTATATGAGTTAAATATGCCAAGTGAAATTGGACTTGCCAATATTGTAAATTGAAGTATGGACTATATATCGATTTTCATTGATTGATGAATAACTCGGAGTAATGTAATTGTTGATAATGAAAAATAGTTTTCAATTGCTGGTAAGGGCCAATGTATGTTCAATAGCTCCGAAAGCAAAAAATGCACGTTTAGAAAAAGACGATAACGATTAAATTACAAAATCGATAACGACGACGATTAAATTACAAAATCAATAATGACCCCTTGAGATCTGTTTTGTTCTTCTGATTCTGCTCTTCAACAACACGGTTCATTAGAGAGATTAAATTTTCATCATGTAAATTGTCATAACTGCTAACGCCTCCACAGATTGGTCCGTCACTCATTAAAATGAAGTGAAAATTTTTGAATAAAATATCAATTTTTTATATTGAAGGAAATTATCGAAGTTGATTAAATTTGAACTAACGATCACTTGATCAAAACCAAATAAATGTAAATGGTTGCTAATTATGATATATAATTATTTTTATGCGATTGGATCATAAGAAAGTTTAATCGCTTCTTTCAATTTTCTGAAAATTTTATTCTTCGACCATGGCCACAAATTACTATAAAATTTTGCAACTAATGATAGACAATTGCTTAATGCCAAATGAAAAATTAATTGAATACATTCAATTTTTGAAAATAATTTGCCATATAATAAAATTGATATTGCTGAAAAAAAAATATTTATATAAGTTATTTCAAATAATAAAGATAATAGATTGTTGATGAGCCATAAATGTTCATTTTTTACTTTTGCAATTTTTACAAATTAATAATCTCATGGGTTGCATTATTATAGATATTAAAAAGTTATTTGATCCCACAAATCAGGACAGTTAAACATATCACAATTAAAGAAATAATCAAGTATGCCGTTTTCTTCAATATTCCTGGACAAAATTGAAGATCTTGAATCTTGCTCTCCATGGTCTAGTATGCAGTTAACAGCCTGTTTGTTGCTATCTACCGGGGCTATATTTTGTGAAGATTGAGGTGGCTTCTTTTCAATATTCAAAACATTGTTTACATCTTGAGTGCGATGCTTCTTTTTCATTAATTTTCTGTATCTATTTTTAATCTGTACATCATTTCTTCCATGAAAATATGAAGAAATGTAAATCCAATGTGATTCGTGCTCTTTTACAAGTTTAATCAGCAATTCATCTTCTTCATCGGTCCATATATTAGTATTTATTTTGGGAGACAAGAATAGAGTATATCTTTCTTTGACTTGTCTAACAGATCGATTTTTCATTTTTTCAGCAATAGCTTTCCAATTATTATCTCCATAAATATTAACTAGATTAATGAGCTTTTTATCTTCACTAGGCGAGAACCTTTGGTAAATCGGCATTATGTATAAATTATCGATTTGATAACAAATTTATTTCAATTATCGATCAATTCAATTTTTTTGATAAAAATGGTTTCAACCTAATCGGATTAATTGTTTAAAAGGAAAGAAAAAAGATAATAATTAATTTTATTTGATCAGATGCTCTATCACAAAAAAGTTTTTTTGTTGTGGCATATTCAATTTACTAGTCGATAATTTAGAAAATTGAAAAAATTCAAAAATATAAAATTCAAGATGGGATCCCTTTTTAATCTATTTTAGGATTTATCCAAAATATCGTGGGAAATAAAACTGTTCAATTTTTTTCAAAGTAAATCCATTATGAATATGATCACAGGGTTTAATATCATTTAATATGATACTTCATAATTTTCATTATTACGTAAACAACTATTATTATGGCCAAAAAATTGAAAACAATTATTCGATTTAATCGTCCGGCTAATTTAAGATATTAATTAAATACAATAATATATCAATTGTTGATCGATAATCAGTTTAAAAAAAATTACAATTACTCCTTTCAATTTTTTTCTATTGTTTTAATTGAGTTAATTTTCAATTCTTCTCAAATTATTATTATTTGAATTTTTATTAAATACAATAAAAATAGCGATTTTCAAAAAAATTATAATGAATCATGAATTGTTACTGTATAAGCACCAGTTTCACAATAGTTAAACCATGAAATTACTTTAATTCCATATTTAAATTCAGATTTTTGAGGTCATCATAACAATTTACCATAAAGTAATTACACATATCAATAATATACAGCAAAACCAATCAATATTTAATATTCATATTTCAAATAATTATTCTTATACATTCAGTAATTTAAATAATGTGTTAATCCGCATTATTATAACATGATTTCAGTATTTGTAATTGGAATTTCATAAATAATTTCTACAGATGAATAATTTTTTCCTTTCCGAAATTAAAAAGTATTCAATTTGTGAAAGAAAATACTTACAAAAGACTTTTATTAAAGTACATTTTGAAATTGATTTCCGATTTCAAAATGTATTAGGAATTAATAATAAAAAAATTAATCAGAAACTTTGTCCCAAAAGTCAACACAGTCGAAAATATTACAGTCGAAGAAATAACCATAAATTTCATCATCCGTAATATTCCAATCTAAACCGGAATAAACATGTTTCTTTTGGCCATTAATAACTACATTATTATAGTCAGGATAGCTAAACTCAGCCGCAAAGATTTCTTCTGGTACAACTGAGATTTTTGCTTCAAATGTATTAATCGCCTCTTGCTTTTGGATTCTATTCTTCCTTTTAATAAGCTTCTTGTATCTATTTTTGATTTGAATGTCATTTCTGCCATCAAAATAAGAAGAAATAATCATCCAATGAGGGTAATGTTTTTCTGCAAGTTTCATCAACAGTTCATCTTTCTCATCTGTCCAAATGTTCGAATTGATTTTTGGAGAGAGAAACAACGTGTATCTCTCTTTAACTTGGCGAATAGTTCTATTCATCTTCTCAGCAATAACTTTCCAATTCTGCTCCCCATATGTATTGACAAGGTTGAATAATTTTTTATCTTCGCTTGGTGTGAACCTCTGATATATTGGCATCGAAGTGATAAAAATTTTTATCAATCGGAATATTTGAGAACTTCTCAATTTTTAATCAAAACAATATGAATTGAAAAAAATTCAAATATCACATTCAATTGATTTCGATAATTTGAACCACAATTAAAACAGTTAGGGCTATACTGATATTATTTTATTTTCATTTTTTTTAATTATAAACAGACCAGTTCAAGCCCGTAACCCATTAAATTAATCTTGTGATTTTTCCAAAATCTTTTCGCTCAATTTTTTAACAGAGCTTTATTGAGTAGTGGATTATCTCTATCGCATCAAGATCTTGCATACTCATCTGATTCGTACAAGATTTTGAAGATAATAAAAATATAAAAGCAAATGCAACAACATTATCGCTTTAAAGTTTATTAAATTAAAAATACGTCGTGATGGATATATTTTCAAAAATCAAAATTATGAATTTAGACACGAATAACGTTTCATTTTATTCATATAGCTTAATTAGATAATGCTATGGCATACAAAATATTAAAATAATTTCTCAATTTTTATTAAAATTATTACAACATTTATTCAAACAATAAAATGGTTAATAACCTAATATACCAGAAGATGTTGGAGAAAGTCTTTTAATACCTGGAATGACGTGATGCTTTGCAATCACAGATAGAACGCGAGATGCTGAATTTGGGTTTGTATCTGGGGACGATTTCATTGAATCTAAGATTTTGATTTTAAGCTGATACATTGTTGGTCTTGCTTTCGGTTCGATTTGTAAGCAAGAATTAATTATTTCGATTAATGGACCATATTTTGGTTCAATCTGAGTATATCCGCGATTTATTTCAGCTAAAAGTACATTTGAGCTCGATCCTTCAAAAGGAAAATGACCTGATGCTAAACAATAAATTGTCACTCCAACTGCCCAAACATCTGCCATAAAATGGTCGTAGTCCATTCCTAAGAATATTTCTGGACACATATAGTTAATCGTTCCACGGATATATTTATCTGATTTGAGTGTTTTTGAGACAGAAATATAATGAGAAAGTCCAAAATCACATAGTTTTACTCTTCCGAATTGATCCAGAAGGATATTTGAGAGTTTGATATCGCAATGGGCAATTCCTTTTTGATGTAAATAGGATAAAGCATCAATAATTTCGGAAGCTATTTTAATTATTCTTCTAATTCCAATTTGCTTCTTTGACTGTATGAGATCAACCAATGAACCACCAGAACAATATTCAAGAATTTGAAAAACTAGATAAATTTAATATTTTGTAAATGTTATCGGTTCTTACGCTTTTGGAAGGAGGGATGGTATTTTTGGAGCATTTATATTACATTGGTACTAAGGCTTTTGGAAAATTTACAAAATAAATTTAATATTTTGTAAATGTTATCGGTTCTTACGCTTTTGGAAGGAGGGATGGTATTTTTGGAGCATTTATATTACATTGGTACTAAGGCTTTTGGAAAATTTACAAAATAAATTTAATATTTTGTAAATGTTATCGGTTCTTACGCTTTTGGAAGGAGGGATGGTATTTTTGGAGCATTTATATTACATTGGTACTAAGGCTTTTGGAAAATTTACAAAATAAATTTAATATTTTGTAAATGTTATCGGTTCTTACGCTTCCTCAGTTAGTAAACATATCATGGGTACGGTGGCACTGCGCGCCTCCATACCCATTATATGTGAATTCGATACTTTACAAAACCGTTAACGTATATTTTACAACACAAACGACAACACTACCTTAACCTTAAATATTTACAAAACCACCAACCACTTCACTTCACTACTGTAAAAAATAAACGTTCCCACTAATGTTCTCACTTACAAAAGTATTGCAACTCCTTCCATTGCTGTGCTTCACACAATAGTTCATATTCTTCAGTATCGCTGCTGTCACTCCAATCGTCAGAGTCAAAATCACTGTCAAAATAAATGTTAGTAAGTTTTGACAAAGCTAATGAAACACGCTTACCGTTTGTATCTATTGCTTGTATAAACTTTCCATTATGCTTGTAGTCATAAACGCTCAAACTAACTTTACCCTTTCTCCCTCGTATCTGATAGAATGTATTTTCACGAGGAACGAAGAACAAATTCTTGAACTCATGACCGTTGTAGTTTGTTATCTCAATAGTTTTCGTCATTTATATAAAAAAAAATAAAATAAAAAATAAACTTAAAAATTAATGATATCACCACCCTCACACGTATGAAAACATAGCACAAAAATAAATTTAGGTGAAGTGGTGAGATCTCACCTCTTTTTTCACCTGTTTTTTCACCCTGTTGAATTCATTGCTTTATAACTCTCTTCCTTTCTCCAACTCTTCTAACTTCTTCCTAAGTTTAGCAATGTTGTCCTCATGAAGTTTAATCTTTCTCAAAATTCCTTCTTTATCTAATGGTTGCTTTATCTTTCTAAACTGAACTCTACCATCCTTCATAGTATGAATGTAAAAACCTTCTGGAATAGTTCCTGATTTAATGTATTCTACCAAAAACTTTTGTTTCATTGCTTCAGTGACTTTAGTCGTCATTTTACTCTAAGGTGAAGCTAGCACAGCAATAATGGATTTCATGACTTTTTAGTATTTCATGCAATCTTAACAGATAGCCTTACAAGTACTTCCAGTGTCCCTAGCTGTCCATCCTTTTTATATAACTCCATGACATTTATAATCTCGCGAAACTTAACAGGTAGCATAACAGATTAAAATCAGATGAGGTTTTGAACCAAAATTTCTAAGCAACGTTGTCAAGGATTTTTGAGGAACTAGGGACAGAGTGTGGCAAAGTCCAAGATTTAATTTATCTTCATCTGTTTCATCAGCTATCTCATCTAATATTCCAATATTTTATTCATAACTCGTGGCAAACTCACTAACTTTCGTTATGTTCATCTGCATGCTTCATCTGATAGAAAGTATGACTTTCATTAACTCTGTGAGATAATGAAACTACTAGGGACAGAGACCATGGCAAAGTTTATGACTTTCATTATTTCCAGAACTTAATGAAAACTACTAGGACAGAGAACATGGCAAAGTTCATGATTTAATTTTTTCTCTCACTAACAACAAACACAAACTCCAACACTAACTCAAGTACTAACCTCAGCACAAATGACAAACACTAACAACAAACACAAACTCCAACACTAACTCAAGTACTAACCTCAGCACAAATGACAAACACTAACAAAAACACAAACTCCAACACTAACTCAAGTACTAACCTCAGCACAAATGACAAACACTAACAACAAACACAAACTCCAACACTAACGACAAAAATAAATGTCCTCACTTCTTAACAAAGTAATATGTGCTTCTTACACCACCATAGCTCAAACGTTTCTTTTCAAACATCGATTGAAACTTATTTTGAGCCATTGGCTTTAGTCTCTTTTTCTTCAAATACGCCAAGAAATCTTCTTCACATCTTTTCACTTCATAGCCTTCTTTAAACTCCTCCTTGTTAAGTTCTATGAAATCCTTTATAACATTCTTTGTTGCAATGGCTTCTTCACGAACGACATCGTGAACTATTTCATCATTGCATTCATGTATGACCTCCTCACTGTTCTCATGAACTATTTCAACACTGTTCTCATGAACGACCTCCTTACTGTCTTTCATAAGCGTTTCAAAGTCTCCTTTACTCATTACTTCAATCTCATGCTGTTCACAGTAGTACTTAAACTCACTGTATATGTCTTTGTTGTATGTTATATTGCTTCCCATGTACTCCATGAATTTTTCAAGCACTTCCTCATAATTCACTGTTTCTTTCTTTCCACGACCTTCTAATATCATACTTGCTTCGTAAATATAACTTCTTGCAGAACCGTCTCGCTTTCTACTTCTCTTCACAAATTCTCTCATCTTGCCACCAAATACATTTGAACTACATGCAAAGAATTCATTCTCCTTCGCAAATTCTTTATATCTTCTGTAGCACTCTGTACAATTCCATCCGGATACAAACTTTTCATAGAACTCCTCGTAAAACATTTGGTAAGGTGTTTTGTTCATTTCGATGAGTTCTTGTTTAGCCCTGGTGAATGGTATCTTCCTTACATCAAATTCACTTAAATCTTTCTTCATGAAGTACGTCAGTAAGTTTGAATAAAACTCTTCATTAAAGCTTTCAATGAGATTTGAGAAATATTCGTAATTTCCTTTGTATCTGCTGCTTACGTCAATGACAACAAATCTTCTGTCGTCTTTGTCAATCTTTACTGAGTTGAAGTTGTTAGATATCATGATGATATTACAAACATTCTCTATCTTTCTTACTGGCTGACACTTCTGATTTAAGTCCAACTGAGTCTCTGTTACTATTGACTTTAGTGCGTCGTGGTTCATGACCTTAGACGTATCGCATGAGCTTAGTTCATTGCATACGATGAGCTTCATGTTCTCAATAGCAGCATTGAATCTACCAACCACATTCTCTATTGCCGTTATATTATTGTTGGCGTACTTGCTAATGAGCTCGCATAGAACATTACTAAGTACATTCTTACCAGTTCCTTGCTTTCCTGTTAACAAAAGTACTGTTCCAGTCTTTCCACAAGGATTTTGAACGATGTAGGCGAACCAGTTCAAAACATACTCATAAAGCTCTTCATCCTCATTACATATGACATCGTGAACATGTTTCAAATATCCTTCAATAATGCTTTCATCTACTTCATTCAGTACCTCATACTCATATCCTCTGAAATAGCTGTAAATGTCATCTCTTTCGTCAAAGAATCTCATGCCTGACTTCATAAGATAGTTCTTGTTCTGACCCGCTTCATAAATCATCAGTGCGTTCACATCCTTCTCTTCAATACGTCCTACATAAACACTCTTCATGAGCTTATTGAATTCCTTGCTATCTACTGACACAAGTGTTGTTGTGTCTCGTATTCCATCATAATCTTTCACTAGATATGTCATACGTGCTCCGTCAATAACGACAACACATCTTCTTAAGTCATTTATAACACTAGCTATGTCAATACCTTCTTCACTCATGTACTTATTTCTTCTCAAGTCCTTTAGTGTGAAAGTGTCTCTAAGTTCTATTTCAAGCAATTCATTTACACATCCTTTGCAATACTTCTCTATAAAATATTTCTGTCGTTCTTTACTAAGTTTTTAACAGCTCTGAAGAACCATGTGTTTTGACTCAAACATCCTTCACAACTTCTCTCATTCATTCCTAGTTCTTTCATGTCATTATCTTCAACCTCTATGGTCTCATTGAGTAAGGTCAAAGGGTTCTTAGTCATTGCTGGTCTTATCTGAAACAATGTTTGTGCAACAGGTTTAACTAGTTCAGCAACGTCCTTCCTTAATATGAATAGCTGTTTCCACTCATCTTTGCTAACAGTTCTTTCATAACCACTGACAGTAATGATTTCATTTGCTGACCTTAGACACTTATGTTCTATCATTTGTATTGCTTTTGTGTAAGGCTTTCGTGAGCATAGGTTGTATATGTCATTCCTGCAATGTTCATTCATGCCAATAGTACTAAATCCTTTCTTTGCTGTTGAGTGCATAATATCCATTAGTTCCTGTGTTCGTATTGCTGTCTCATAAAATACAACAAGACCTTTGTCATCTATGACGTACTTACCGAAAACATTGCTTATATTCTTTAACCATGAAATAACATCCTCATTCATGCTGTCAAACATGAAGTAAGGTCTTACATACTCTTCACTTATAAGATACTCCACAAAATACTTGTTAAGCTCTATGTCCTCGTGAGCGATTTCATTAGGTTTGATATTAGTTCCTTTTGTCATTGCTGTCATGTACTTCACTCTCATAGTTCCTTTCAATAGCGTAAAAATACTTCATTGTTTCATAACTGCTCTAAATTCTGTTCAAAATTCGTACAACATAACTTTTAACATTAGTGAAAGAACATGAGCGAAACAACAACATCTAACATTACAGAAGAAGTCAATGACAATGCCGATGAAAACATTACAGAAGGAGCTAGTGAAAATATTGACGAGTTCAGTGAGGAAGAAGATATTGAGGACGTCAATGAGAACGTTAGTGGGGAACAAACTCAATGGGAAACATTGAGAAATCATGAAGATTATGAGATTTGTACGACATATCCTTTTACTATTCGTCGAAAGAAAGACAAACATATTATGAGTGAATACTTAAATAATTATGGTTATATTGTGCTTAGTTTAAACAACAAAATACATTTAAAGCATAGAATTATTGCAGAACAGTGGATTGAAAATCCAAACAATTTGAAAGAAATAGACCATATAAATCATGATAGAACGGACAACAGAATCTCAAACCTTCGTTGGTGTTCTAGATCTGAAAACAATAGAAATAAAAGCAAGTATGACGATATAGTTTATGAGTTCGTTGATGAAATATCTGACGAAGCTGTTGAAATAACAGATTATGGTAAGCATTCGTTTGAGTTCTACTACTATGTTGAGAATGAGGACGCATTCTATTATTATACAGGTCTTAACTATCGAAAACTTCATATAAACTTTACAAAAACAGGTGCTGCTTATGTTTGTATGATAGATACAGAAAACAAGAGTGTAATTTTATTCATAAACAAATTCAAACGCTTGTACGGCTTCATGTAGGACAAACATTATTTTTCAACACTAACGCCAACACGTAGGACAAACATTCATGACTAACATTACTGTATAAACTTCGTCGTATATGTTTTGTCAAGACTTCATCGTAAATGTTTTGTCATGATTTCATCGTAAATGCTTTGTCATGATTTCATCTTAAATGTTTTGTCATGATTTCTTCGTAAATGTTTTGTCGAAACTACTTCGTAAACACTTTGTCAAGACTTCTTCGTATATGTTTTGTCAAAACTTCATCGTATATGCTTTGTTATGACTTCATCGTAAATGCTTTGTCATGACTTCATCGTAAATGCTTTGTCATGACTTCATCGTTAATGATTTGTCAAAACTTCATCGTAAATGTTTGTCAAAACTTCATCGTCAATGATTTGTCAAAACTTCATCGTCAATGATTTGTCAAGACTTCATCGTCATGACTTCATCGTTAATGATTTGTCAAAACTTCATCGTTAATGATTTGTCATGACTTCATCGTAAATGTTTGTCAAAACTTCATCGTCAATGATTTGTCAAGACTTCATCGTCATGACTTCATCGTTAATGATTTGTCAAAACTTCATCGTTAATGATTTGTCATGACTTCATCGTAAATGTTTGTCAAAACTTCATCGTCAATGATTTGTCAAGACTTCATCGTAAATGTTTGTCAAGACTTCATCGTCAATGATTTGTCAAGACTTCATCGTCAAAACTTCATCGTCAATGATTTGTCAAGACTTCATCGTCATGACTTCATCGTTAATGATTTGTCAAAACTTCATCGTTAATGATTTGTCATGACTTCATCGTAAATGTTTGTCAAAACTTCATCGTTAATGATTTGTCAAGACTTCATCGTCAAAACTTCATCGTCAATGATTTGTCAAGACTTCATCGTCATGACTTCATCGTTAATGATTTGTCAAAACTTCATCGTTAATGATTTGTCATGACTTCATCGTAAATGTTTGTCAAAACTTCATCGTCAATGATTTGTCATGACTTCATCGTAAATGTTTGTCAAAACTTCATCGTCAATGATTTGTCAAGACTTCATCGTAAATGTTTGTCAAGACTTCATCGTCAATGATTTGTCAAGACTTCATCGTCAAAACTTCATCGTCAATGATTTGTCAAGACTTCATCGTCATGACTTCATCGTTAATGATTTGTCAAAACTTCATCGTTAATGATTTGTCATGACTTCATCGTAAATGTTTGTCAAAACTTCATCGTTAATGATTTGTCATGACTTCATCGTAAATGTTTGTCAAGACTTCATCGTCAATGATTTGTCAAGACTTCATCGTCAAAACTTCATCGTCAATGATTTGTCAAGACTTCATCGTCAAAACTTCATCGTCAATGATTTGTCAAGACTTCATCGTCAAACTTCATCGTCAATGATTTGTCAAAACTTCATCGTCAATGATTTGTCAAGACTTCATCGTCAAAACTTCATCGTCAATGATTTGTCAAGACTTCATCGTCAAAACTTCATCGTAAATGATTGTCAAGACTTCATCGTCAAAACTTCATCGTCAATGATTTCAGTGTCACCACGTCACCATGTCACCAGGTTAATTAACTTCTCCTAAAATTACTGACAACATAACATTTTGACAACAGGTACGAAAGGAGGAAGGCATTTATGAATTATTTTTGAAGAACTGAAGGTGTCACCACGTCACCATGTCACCAGGTTAATTAACTTCTCCTAAAATTACTGACAACATGACATTTAGACAACATCAACAAAGGAATTTCATCGTAAATGATTTGTCAAGATTTCTTCGTAAATGTTTTGTCAAGACTTCATCGTCAAAACTTCATCGTAAATGATTTGTCAAAACTTCATCGTAAATACTTTGTCATGATTTCATCGTAAATATTTTGTCAAAACTTCATCGAAACTAAACATAAATGCTTTGTCAAGATTTCTTCGTAAATGTTTTGTCAAGATTTCTTCGTAAATGTTTTATCAAGATTTCTTCGTAAATGATTTGTCAAGACTTCATCGTAAATGATTTGTCAAGACTTCATCGTAAATGATTTGTCAAGACTTCATCGTAAATGTTTTGTCAAGATTTCATCGTAAATGATTTGTCAAGACTTCATCGT